TATCATTGTGCTGCAAGAAATAATGAATAACCTGAGAAGAGTTGTATGAAGTGATGAAGTGTGAGGTGAATAGCAGCAGAAGCCAATTTGTAAAATAACAATACTGTAAAAAAAAAAGGTACCTTTGAAAGACTTAAGAACTCTGATCAATGCAATGACCAACCATGACTCCAGGGGAACATTGATGAAGCATGTTTCCCACCTCCTGTCAGAGATTTGATAGACCACAGGTTCAGAATGAGACATACATTTTTGGACATGTCAAATATATGGATTTGTTTTCTCTGTTAACTTGTCAAAAGGTGTGTTTGTTTTGTTTTTTGAAGGGAGAACTGATAGTGATGCCAAAAAAGAAAGAAAGAAAAGCACAGAAAAGATTAGGAGTAGGTTCAGAGGGTAGCACAGATAAGGAAGCAACTTTGGAATGAATAGGTTGAATTGAATAGATACTTTGAAAAAAATTTTTCATAAATTTTTTTCATTGCACATAAATGTATAATCATATGGAAATGTTCATGTTTATTGCTGTCTTTCAGAATAATAAAAACATTTTTTATGAAAACAAAAAAGAGAGACAGAAAACACACTAACTATGTAGGTCTTGGGTAAGCCTCTTAACTTTTCTGTGTCTCACTTTTATTATCTGTAAAATAAGAAGGTTTGACCAGATGATCTCTAAGGCCTTTTCTTGTTCTAAGTCTTTGAAATCTTTGCTATTGGAAAGCTGTTTAGAATGAAAAAAAAATTCCAGGCAGATTCTGGGGTTGTTCACTCTGAGTCCAATCTTTGGTGGTTTTTACACATATCTCTGAACCTGGATGGTGAGTTTGTGTTCAAAACCATGATCATAAGGCCCTGTGAGAGTTCACTAAGCAAAGAAGGATTGTACTATGGTTCTGGGGCTCTGCTAACAGAGCAAGAGAGTGGCCTCAGACATTTGAGAAAAACTGGCAACTTGTTAGGGCACAAAGAAGTTTCTGCTTTTTCCTGAATTAACCAGAAAGTTCATTCATTCCTGGGCATTCTGTGCACAATACTTAATCGTGATACAACTGCACATTCCAAACATAATTCAGTTCTCTTAGCAGAGTGGGATTCAGGTGGCTTTATGCTCCTTATTCATCTTTTGTTTGGCAGTCTTCTAGAATCATAGTTTCTCAAATTGAAAAGGATGTCAGAAATCATCTAATCTACCTTCTGTCTCATCCTGGAATTCCTTTTACAGTATCTCTGACCAGAAGTCATTCATTTCCTAAGCTTGTAGCATTCGGAGCTGAAAGAGACCTCAGGAACCATATTTTAGCCTCTTGGTTATACAGATGAGGAAATGGAGGCTCAGAAGGGGGAAGGAGTCGGTCCCATCATACTGGCGGTCAGTAGCCAAACCAGGATTCAACCCCAGCCCTTCACCCAGCGTTCATTCCACTACCTTACTGAGGGTTCTGCTGCACTGGGGGACAAAGAAAGGTTACTGCTGGAAGGAGGGTCCCTTTTAGGCTTAGTGCCAGAATTGTAGTGAGTTGGTATTTGCAGCCCAAGTTGGTGGCTTGGACACGGGGTGCTAAGCTGAAGGAGCCAGAAGTAGAAAGAAATGTCTGCAAAGGAAGCAGGACCAAGATCAAAACAGAATCCAAGGAGGCTGAATGAAATGGTAAGTCACTGCCAGTACGTTTTAGGAACTGAAACTCAGGGCAAGCTCTACCCTAGTTCCCTGGATTGACATTCCTGCCAGCAACAAAATCCCCAACTCTCTACACATATAAAACAAAGACTAACCCTTGAAAATTCAGGGGTGGACCCAGACCCCTTCCTCTCAGAGGAACCCCAACATGTCATGCCCTTTAGGTCTCATTCATCCAACTCAAGTTGGTTCTGTTGGATTGGGTAGCCAGAAATATGGCTGCTACCACTTTGGAGGTCTGGGGTGGGGGGGGGTGGGGGGCTAATACTATGTATCATAACATGAGCTTTCACTGATTTGCTTCCCCTGCATAATCAACCAGTAGACTGAGAGCTTTAGTAAACAGTGTAGCAAGAACAGTGGTTATGAAGCCTTGCCCCCAACACCAGGAGCATGGTCTCCCACAATTCAGTGCAGAATCTAGGGAGGTAAAGAATGGGCAAAAACCTAGAATACAATGATAGTGAGGCACACATGATGGGAACACATATGTCCAAACCAGTTTACAGATCTGGACCTGAAGGACTTCAGCGTCTTCTCTCTCTACACAAGGTCCTCCTCACCCCGTGCAGAGTGTCATGCCAGGGAGGGATGAGTCACTCGGCTGTCCAGCAGGGTTGGCTTTTCTGAGGGCATTGATATCTGTAGGAATTAGAGCTTAGCCAGGGTACTGTTTGCCTGCTGGATTGGGTCCATCTGCTGCTGGGCTGGATTGAATAGGGCACTTGGTAGCTTGAGTCTGTCAGCCAGGCTTAGCTGCTACTGAACTGGATGGAGAGGCGACACCATTACCGGACAGGGGCCACCCGACAGGGCTCAGGGCAGCTGCTGCCAGATGCTGCCAGGCTCTCGGTCATCTGAAGAGGAGTTCTCCTCTGCTTGCTTGACGTCCCAGTGCTCTGGTGGCTTTGTTGTTGGGCTGGTTCAGTCGTGTCTGACTCTCTGTGACCCTGTTTTGGGGGTGGGTCCCCAGACCCGATTCTAGCAAGGCAGACCTGGGTTCATATCCAGCCTCAGATACTTCCTGTCTGTGTGACTCTTGGCAGACTTAACCCCTTCTGCTTCAGCATCCTCAACTGTAAAACGGGGGCAATAATAGTGTGTTGCGAGGATCAAATGAGATATTTGTAACGTGCTTAACACAGTGCTTGACCCATAGTGCAAGTTTAATAAATATTTACTTCCTACCCTCACCCCTTCTGTGGTATCACCATAATTGCAATGTCATGAAGCCTGTAGGATAGAGCGTTTGCAGTCTTTCCTGTCCAATCGTATACACCGAACTTCTAGTTAGCTAGTGCTGCTGCTCATCTCTGGTACGTTGCATCCAAATTGCCACTGGTTAAAAATATAGTGGATTATTATTTGTCCAAATTGGAAAATTATCTCCATAGAAATGGTCTTGGACTTCTCAGTAACAGCCCACTTCAAAGCCTCAAGATTGTGTACATGAGGTGAATCAAGTGATTTTTTGGTGACCATTACTCTCTTGGTAGTGTTGGGGAATTCCTCAACCCAGAGTTCCTAAGATACTCTTTGTTTCTTTGACTGGTGGTAAGTAAATCAGAAAGCAGTGCCAGAAGAGTTTAAGAACTTAATTAGCATCAACTGATGGGCAGTTGGCCGGTAGCTAGCAGCACCCTTAATTAGCATCAGCTGATGGGCAGTTTGGCAGGTGGCTAGCAACGCAGAGGAACAAAAGGAGACACACGCATACACACGTACAGGCTTTTACACAGCCTTAGGGTGCCATTACTAGTTCCATGACTGTCAGGGGAGGATGGAAACTCAATCAGTTTATTTGGGAGGGTGAGTAACAGATTAGGAAAAAAAACATTCACCTTGGGGTTAGAAATTGTTATCGTTGGTATCTCAGGAGTAGTCAGAGAACACTTGCTAATATTTCTCATCCTATCCTAAATTTTAAATAGCTTACAGGAATTTGATCTTCAACATGCCTAGACAGTTAGTCTCTCCATCTTTACCTTAGCTAATTTACCATGCTTTCTTGAGTTGGCTCAAATTAGAGAAACAATCTATACGCAAAACCACAGCCCTGATGCTGTTTGCTAATTCTTGACAAGAGACAGAAAACCCTAAAGTAGGTCGTCGCTCAAAAGACTCTTCCCTGAGTAAGCCACTCCACTTTGCCTTATGGTGATTAGTTTCAATTCAGTTAGTTTCACCTCCCATGCTCCTTTGGGAATCTTATGTTGATGAGTGCCAAAGGGACAAAGCAGCCTGTGCCCTGGAGGCAAATTCATTGTCTCATTGGCCCCTTCATATGCAATGGAGCTATTCAAGCCTCAGACCCTTTCTTGAGTGTGGAATATCTACTTTGCATCTGAAGGCTTTCCTTTTTACATTTCAATGTCTGTCTTTTAGCCTCAGCAGGCCTTCGGCTTTTGCTGAAATATTCCTGGGTCCCCTGTCTTACCCTAGAAATTCTATCTCTGGATGCCTGAGTGAGTGGAAAACTGAGTCTAAGTTCACAGAATTTCAGGACTGGAAAGGTACATTGAAGATTGTCTAATCTGGCTCCCTGGTTTTACAGAGGAGGAAACTGAGTAAGGCCCAGGCAGGGAGGGAAAAATTACTTGTTCAAGATCCTAAGTCTAGTTAGTGGTGGAGCTGGGAGTAGCCTCCAGGCTGCCCCATCAGCATTCCTATTTTCTTTCCACTTCAAGTTGGAGTGAGATGTCTTTTTTTTCCTCTTCAAAGATGGGGAGAGCTTTTCTAGCTTAACAAATTTGTGTTAAAAGGGTATGTGCGCATGTTTGTGATATGTGCATGTTCTTGGACTCATCCTTTGCCTCCTAGAGAGACTGTCAAGGAACAACTTAAAAGCCCAGTCAGGAGCTCATGACCCCCTACAAGGAGACCATGAGCCTGAAAGATAAGAGGAGTGAAAAAAGAAGTCGACACTTAAAAGTCGCTTCTCCAAAGGCTACATGGATCTTTTTTTGGTTAAACCTTTTTAAAGTGTTTAAAAGCTTTAATATTGATGGCCCGTCAACTCTGTCCTGATTCTTTGGCTTTCAGTTAAAAGGTTTTTGTTGTTGTAGCTTATGCAGTTGCTCTGTTGCTATGGAAACGTGACATCAAAATGACGTTTCCCTGTTTAAAAGCTTTTAACTAAATTCCTGCCTGTCAGATGTAGGCCCCATTTTGTGCACTCAAGCTTCAAGCTGTTGCAAAAAGGTTTCACATGGGCTGTTGTCATTCAAATGCTTTGCCCACTTCTGGACATCGCGCACGACCCAAGCCTGGGCTACAAATTCTGCCTCTATTAAGTGTCCTCTTTTAAAAACCCTTTTAGGTCAATCAGCCATGGCCGCAGCAGAAATCCCTAGTTATGTTGTTTCTCCTCAGACTGAGAAACACAGGAGGGCCAGAAACTGGACGGATGCAGAGATGAGAGGCTTAATGCTGGTCTGGGAAGAATTTTTTGATGAATTGAAACAAACTAAGCGGAATGCCAAAGTTTATGAGAAAATGGCTAATAAACTCTTTGAAATGACTGGGGAGCATCGCCACGGAGAGGAGATTAAAATCAAAATCACCAACATGACATTCCAGTACAGGTAAGCTGCAGCCCTTTGTTCTGTCTTTGGAATGCCTCCCTTTTCTTCACCTCTCCTGGAGGGGACCAAGAGGTGGACCAGGGGGCAGGCTGGGAAGGGGCCCCTTGAAGGAGGCCAGGGAGGGCTGAATTTCCAGCATGCTGGCCACATGCAGCAAGCCCAGAGGAAGGCACGTTCGTTTCGCTTCGGATCCCACCGCAGGGCTCTCCCCTCAGCCCCATCATTTATTGGAAAACTCAAGAACAAGTTGTTCAGTTGCAGCTAACTAGTGCGCTTGGCTCTGAGTTCAATGCTCTTACTAACTCTGGGAGGTTGCCTCGTCTGTGGGACTGAAAACCTTAGCGTGGCAGATCTTCTGAGCTAAAGAACACTGCCTTTCCTGGGGTGAGGAGGAGAAGGCTGGGGGGGGGGGAATGGAGGGGGAAGCGGAGATGAGGAAAAGTTCTAATTCTCTATCCCGGCCGTTGATTGGACCTGGGCAGGCCGAGGGGATAGGGTTTGCAGGGCTAGGAAAAATTGGACGCCTTCTTCCTGAGTGACAGGCTGGATCATGATTAAAAACAACCTTGGCCAAAGAACTGGTTCTCTGCAGAGATAGGGAGGGAGAGAGAAAGAATAAGAGCACTGTGCATTGTAAAGAATGGGGGAAGGGCAGAAGTATTTTGGGGGGAAAACAAACAAATGAGCTGATACTGCTTAGCCTGAAAGCAAAGTTGATTTGGGAGGATTTCAAAGATTCAAGATCTAGGCATGAAATATTTGGAACTTAGGAGGAAGCCCAAAATTTGTGCATTAAAAACATCCCCTGTTACTGGCTATTTTCTTCTCTGAGAGGAAAAAATTGCTCCGGGATTTATTAATTTATTAATAGTGACAGTAATAAAAACCATGATCATCCAAGGAATACTGATGGTTAGTTTTCTATTTTCAGCACTGTCGGCTCCCACTACTGACTAAGGAGAAGGGAGAGAAAGAGAAGGGAAAAGGAAAATAGGATTTTCTTTTCCACCTATTTCTTTTCCTCTGCTCTAGGATGTCACCACTTATTACAGGTTTCTCTCCTTCTGACACAAACAAGGGGAAGGCTCATCAAACTGGAAGGGACGTTAGAGAATATCTACTTTAACTCTCTTACTTTGCAGAGGAGGAAAGTGAAGGTCGTGCATCACATGGGTACGAAGTAGCAGAGCTGGCATGGGAACCAGACTGAACAGCCACAGTACTTTAGAGGGCAGTGTCAAAACAGACTTGGTGGGGATTGTCCTACGGGGAGCAGAGGAGTGGTCCGGGACTATTGCTTTCCTGCTCTGGAAATAGGCCTGTATGCAGCCTGAGTTAAGGGTGGTGATACCTAGGGTATCCCAGATTCTTAAGGTTTTCTCATCTTTCCACCCCATAGCCAGGACTCAAAGGCATTCCAAGCTGGGCTGTGCATGCCCCAAAGACAAGGACCAAATCTTCTCTGGTTTCCCCTACAGTAAGATCTACACAGTGAGTGCTAAGGGTTTTGTGAATTGAATTAAGAATGTAATCTTGAAGCTAATCATATACACGTATAGAGAGTTCATGCTAAGACTCTTAAGCTCAAAAGGCCTTCACCAACAATGCTTTCAGTGCCTACCTCTCCTGAATTGTGTGGTCCCTGGCCTTGCCCCTCACTGTGATGCCATGGAAGGAAAGTTACATGATGTAGAGGAAGGAACTCTGTCCTTTAGCTCACCTGTATGTCAAGATTCTGCTTTAGGATTAGAACCCTTCATGTCATGTGAGCTGACAAATGGTTTTTGAGATGGAACCCAGCCTTGCTTTTGTCATGAAAGGTAATGATGACTCACATTTCTATACCAATTTAAGATTTCCAAAGTGCTTTATGTTATTAATGTATGAGGCAGGCACCAGAAGTATTATCCTTCTTTTACAGATGAGGAAACTGAGACTCAGGTTAAGTGACTTTCTCCCGAGCATTTGGCTAGGAAGTGATGGAGCTGGTTTCAGGTCTAATATATAGGGAGTGTGCAATACTTGTCAGTTCCCAAGCAAGCAGAAGCATCATAGAATGTCAGAACTGGACAGGCCCTTCAAGGTCATCTTGTAACTCCCCTCCTTTACAGAGGCCTGTATTGTTGGTGCTGGGTTTTGTCTAGCTTTGGATTTCATACTATCCCTGTTTTCATCATTGTAATGCTCCTGATGCTCAAGAAGAGTCACTTTCCTAAGAAAAAGGAGGAGAGGAAGGAGTGAGAATCATAGAATTAACAGGATGTCAGATTTAATAGAGATCTCAGCTGGTGTCCTTTGCAACATATTTAGCAAGTGGTTAGCCAGCCCTTGCTCAAAGACCCTCTAGTGAGGGGGAACCCACTATGCCATGAGGCAGCCTATCCTCCTTTTTGATAACTCTTACTGTTAAGAAGCTTATCCTTACATAGACCTCAAATCTGCCTCTTTGCAACTTTTACTCGCCCGAGATTCGCAGTGTTTTTTGGGATGGACCCTTTTGGCAGTCTGGTAGTGCCTATGGATCACTTCTCAGAATGATGTTTTTAAATGGATAAAATAAAATGCAAGGATTACAAAGCAATCGTTCATTCTGAAATTAAGTTATAAAAATCTTTAAAAAAGAAACAACCTAGGTTAAGAACCTGTGTCTGGAACAGCCAGGTTGGGCAGTGAATAGAGCACTGGCCCTGGAGTCAGGAGGACCTGAGTTCAAATTGGGCCTCAGACACTTATTACCTGTGTGACCCTGGGCAAGTCACTTTGCCCCCATTGCCTCAAAAACAAAACAACAACAGCCACAACAATTCCTCGGTTCTGAATATTCTGCTTCTCTTAATGAAGCCTAAAATAGTATTAGGTTTTTTGACTGCCATATTATACTGTTGATTCCTACTGAGCAGTAAGTAGCCCACTCATACCAAGATCATTTTTGGAGGAACTGTACTCTACTCACTCCTTCCCCATCTTGTATCTGTGAATTCAGTTTTTCAATACACATGTAAGACTAAATATTTATTTCCATTTTTTCTTATTAGATTCAACTCAATGATCTACTTTATAGAAATCTTTTTAGCTAATGATTAATTTGTTACTAACCTAATGTGTTAGCTGTAACTCTTAGTTTTTTGACCTTAGCAAATTTGATAAGTATTCTATCTTTGTTTTTATTCAAGTCACTAATAAAACTGTAAATGGCACAAGGCAGGGACAGATCATTGGGACACTCCATTAATGATCTTCCAAGTTGACATCTAATCATTAATGACTACTCCTTGGGTCTGGCCATTCAACCAGTGTTATATCCTCTTAATTGTAAGTGTTCTCTGTATCATTTTATCTGGTTCACAAGAATAGCAAGAGAGATTTTGTCAAATATTTTATTAAAATCTAGGTGAACTATTTAATCCACTCAACTTTGGGACCTCATTCTAGGGATAGCTGCCTTGACTGGTGAGGGATTAAGTGAAAATTCACCTCAACTCACCATTTCTAGCCAACCTCAGACTATGCTTCATGTTCCATTCAGCTGTCCACCAGGACACCAGAGGCGACCCAGCATGGGCATCTTGCCATCTGCCTTGCCACTGTGATCATGATCTCACCTCCCTTGACCTAGACATTAGACCTTCACCAATGCAAAGATTACAGATGCCTCCTTGATTCCTGAGGATGGCATAGAGGGAGAAAGGATCGCCAGTTATCAAATATACATGGAGCTGGCCCTCCACCTAATTGTTGAAAAGGGAGGTCAGTAGTTGAGTCCAGGAATAAAGATAGGTGCTATTTCCTTTGACTGATGACCTTTCTCAGGCATAGAAGCAATGTAAGCAAAGAAGACAAGGCTTAAGACATGAAAGTATTGCTAATGATACCGGTCTCCAGATTCATAGTAAGAACACTGATTCTAGAATCAAAAGACCTGAGTTCAGATCTTCTTTCTGATATCCCTTGTATGACCTTGGCAAGTCACAACTTCCCTGGGTCTCAGTTTCTTCATCTGTAAAATGAGGCCTGTGAGATCTCTTCCACTTGATCCTGTGATCTATCTCTAGTCCAATCTTTCCATTTTACAAATGGACAAACTAATGCCCAGATAGAAGAAAGTCATTCACCCAAGGTCATAGAAAATATAATAAGAAGCAGAAATGGGATTTGAACCTAAGTCTTATTATTCTAAATTTAGTGCTCTTTTTACTACACTGGTCTCTTTTATTCTTCTGAGCTTATGGATTTTATCTGAATACCTAAGGTGTTTAACTTAGACAACTGAGTGACAATAGTGCATTTACAGAGAAAAATTATAGGTCACCTTTCAAAATCTGTCTGCCATGCATGTTCCCGGGGACCTAACTTCTCTGGGCCATCAGATCCATATAATAATACCCCATGTCATCTTAAAATGCTAGGAGAATTACAGCGTTACAGAGGAGCCAGTTTTCAAACTTAAATAGCTCAGTGATTTTATTTTATCTTTTTTAGAACATCAAAAGGAATCAGTCAAATAACCATGGGCTGTAAGGGAATATGCAAATTTTTCTCTCCCTTCCCCCAACAGAACCAGAAAAAGGTCCCTCAAACAGGATGCAGCTGTTCCATTTTTGAAGGAATTAAAGTCAATTAATGTTAATGAATGTTAAATCTGAACCACCGTCTCATGATTTGAGTGGAAAAAAGGCCAAAGTCTGACTTATTTTTTCAGCTGTTCATGGCTGCACACAATTGCAGTTAGGCTCTGATGTCTAACCAAAATTTTATGAAATTAAAGCAACTGAAATCTTTGACCTTCGATTTTTCAAGGAATGGCAGCTAAGTGCGAGACAGCTGCTGAAAGTGAAATTTCAATATTTTACCAGCTTTCCTTTTTCAGATTCAATAATTCATTGGAGACGTACAACTTAAGTACTGTCCTAGCTTTCTCCCTCTCTCCTTTCCTTGCATGTGATTGGTGTCTGAAGGAGGTCATTCATTATTTATTCTGAAAGCTTTTTTCAAAATCCCCA